GGAGGAGCTGCAAGGGGAGCCCACGAGTCCTCCCTGCTGCTGAACCACCCCTGCTCCCCAGGAAATCCCTGTTTTAACCCCTTGTAAAAGAGCTCCTCCAGTAATTGCCTCCACATCTCCAAGGTGTCTTCGAGCCACGGAGGTGCAAATATTTATCCATACTTGGAATTGCCGAGTGAAGGCTGGCTAAGTGTTCCCAGACACCCCAGCCCTTGTTGTTTGAAAGACCTGGGCCCGTGGACACCTGGCTGGAATTAATCAGCAGATGGGGAGCAGGGAGGCAGAGCAGAGCCCTCATTAACCCTTCACACATCGATGTCAAGGTCACAGAGAGGAGGTGGGGGAGGTTCAGCCCGGACCTGTCAACAGCCAGGGAATCCCAAAGCAAGGAATGTGCTTCCCAGGGCAGGGGCATGAACTGGAAGCAGGATTTATCACTCTGCTGTCACCACGGAGCGGGGGCTCTGCCTTGGGGAGGGCAGCAGGAGTGAATGTTTAGGACTAGATAATAAAACACCAGAGCAAACCCACCTTCTGCCTCAGTCCAAGAGCTGAAGCATCTCCTGAAGGCAGAGCATCCACTTTGTGCCTGGTTTCAGGCAGGAAGTTTGGATTGTTCCAGTAGGTTGGTCGTTAATGAGAATTCCTTGATTGGATTGGATGTCGGAAAAATTCCTGCCCTGAAAGGGCTGCCCAGCCCTGGCACAGGCTGCCCAGGGCAGTGAGGGAGTGACAACCCCTGGAAGTGTTCACTAAATGTGTGGATGTGGCACTTGGGGACGTGAATCAGCGATGGATCAGTTGGGATCACACGCTCCATCCCTCACCCCCCTCACAGCAGCTGCCCCAACCACCAGCTCTCCAGCCAGGAGCTGGGAGTGAAACAGAGAGCTGAACACATCCCAAAGAAACTAAAAAACACAGCCAGGAACTTCCCAAACTCTGCTCTCCTGCACGGACAGCCCCAGCCGGGCAGGTGTGGGTGCAGCCATTGACTGATGCTTTCCACCACGGCCACCTCCACCCCAAACAACCCACTCCCCCAGCCCCCAGGTGGATAAAAACATCCCCCCCCCCAAAAAAAAAAAAAAAGCTCCTTGCACAGCTCTGTTTATCTCTCTCCGTGTGTTTTTGGTGCCCGGGAAAGTCAAAGGGGCCATCAGGGAGGGAGGATTCGCTGATGCTCTCCAGGGGGGAAGGGTGTGGGGGGGAAGTTTTTGCTCTTGAGGAGATGTAAACAAGCCCTGCAGCAGGTCCAGGCCCCCCCGTGCCCTCTTATCACGAGTCCTTTCTTTTGGCATAAACACCGGCCCCAGGTCAGGGCCATAATCTGTCCCAGATGCTTTTCCAAGGCTCCAGCTAAGGCTGCAAACCTGAAATGGGGGGTGAAATCAGCCCCACCCGCTGCTTTCTCTCTTTCTCTCTCTCTCTCTCTCAAGGGTCAATTTTCAATCCCAAAACTCCTTCCCCTGGTACAGGGGGAGGTGGCTGGGAGGGATCCACGAGCCCTTGGCCTGTCAGGGGGTTGATCCCAAACTCTCCACGTCCCAGGATCCATCCCCAGCACAGATTTGTCTCACAAAGCCAACATTTCCAGGGTTTTTACAGGATTAAGGAGTGTCTCTGTCCCCAAGGGCATCAAGGATTGCCCAGGCACTGGGTCAGTGGTCGTGGCCATGCCCTTGTTGAGCCTGAGCTGCCCAACCCACATCCCAGCCCTCCCTGAGCCCGAGCAGAGGGAAATCCCGATCCCCAGTTCTTGTTCTTCAACAGGAATGAGTCCAACCCAAACCCAAGCCCACATTTCAAAGATTTCCCACATCCCAGGCTGGTTTGGGTTGGAAGGGCCCTTAAAGCCCATCCTGTCCCACCCCCTTCCACTCTCCCAGGCTGCTCCAAGCCCTGTCCAGCACTTGGACACTTCCAGGGATTCCTTGAGGTGAATTCCTTGAGTCCTTCCTTCCTGGACTGTGCAAACAGCTCTAGAAATCAAAATAAAAAATCAGGAAGAGGAAGGATTTTTTTTTTTTTTCTCTTCAGGTCAGCCCAGACTGAAACCTTCTAATTTGTCTCAGCAAACCAGGTTGGTTTTTTTCCTTTAAGTGGAGACAATGAAAACATCCTGTTCTCCCCCAAATAAAACGTGTCTCTGTTTGCAAATTCATCTTTGACAGCACTTGTGGTTCCCTCTGCCTTTTCTAATTAAAAGCTGGCAGATCCCAACTGGAGAACACCACAGTCTAATAAAATTTAATTTCAAGCATATCTCCAAACAAAGCCTGCAGCTTTTTAGCCCAAAAATACTCCTTTTTTATTATTATTATCTTTTGGTGTTTTTTTTTTTGTTGTTGTTTGTTTGTTTGGCTTTTTTCGTTGTTGTTCAAGTTGTAAATAATTTCAAAAGCACCAAAACAACTTTAATTTTCCCTACAAACAAATGTTTCATCTTAATTTCAGCTTCCAGTGATCAGAGCCAGACTCTTCTCAGTGGTGCCCAGGAAGTGGATTAGAGGGAAGGGCATGAGCTGAGATAGGGAAATTCCCTTTAAACAGAAGGGAGAAATTCTATGTTTAATTTTTTTTTTTAATTTATTTATCTAAGGGTAGCTTTAAGATCCCTCCCATCCCAAACCATTCCTGTAACACTTGCTTTTGGGGAAAAAAAACCCAAAAAAAAAAAAAAAAAACCAAACCAAAAAAAACCAAACGAGAACCCAAAACCTCAGCCCGTCTTTAAGGCTGGGGGGTTTAAATTACCGTTTCTGGTTTGCCCTTGGAGAAATCCGCAGGGAATCTCCCTCCTCCCTCCATCTCCTGGTGCGCGGGGCCCTCTGGAGCCCACGCCGCGCATCGCCCGCCACGGACCCACGGCTCTCCAAGCTGGAGCTGCCGCGAGGAACAGCTGGATTCGCTGGAATGACAAACCCACCGGCACCGCTGGACAAGCCAGTGATTCCCGTCCCGGGTTTACACAGGTAGGAATATAATTTTGGAGGGGTTGTGGAATGTCCCAGAGCCTAAAAACGAGCACCAAATCCAGGGGAAATAAAAGCAGGATGCTCCCACGGCAGGCTGTGGCTTTCCAAAAGGGTCCCATCTTCCCCCTCGTGGGAGTTTTTGGCTCATAGGGTGGGAAAAACACAGTCAGGTAAGAGGAAAGGTGTTATTCCAGGTGGGAGAGGGAGTGGGAAAAGCTGCTCGGGAAAACTCCCCCAAGCACCAGGAAGGACCTGATCCTGGATATTGCCTCCTCCAGAGGGGCAGGATTTGGGCAAAGCACTGAATTCCCAGAGGAGCTGCTGTGCTGGGAAGCCCTCTGGGTGCAGCAGCGCTCGCTCTGTACATCCCAAAGGAAAACAGAATCCCAACAAAGCCGTTTCCCCTGGCAAGCAGAGCTGGGCTTAACTCACTGTGTGTGCTCAATGAAATTCCTCCGGGATCAGATGGATGGAGTTTGGACAGGGAACACCTGCTCCGAGGCCCGGGACAGCAGCCAGTAGATGGCATTCACATTCCATACGTGCGCTGCCATCAGCTGTCAGCCTTGGGCTGCTCTGGGAGACGGGAAAAGAAGGTTTTTCGTGGAAAAAATGAAGGTAAAAGGCAAAATATTCGCCAGAGATGACCCTGAAGACTTGGACAATTAACTTTGGAGCCATCAAGGGCTGCAGACTTCCTGGTATTTCCTGCCCCCATGGATCTTCTGTCGGATTCTAACAGAGAATCCAAACCAGGCTGGTTTGGGTGGGAAGGGACCTTAAAGCCCATCCAGCCCCACTGGGACACCTTCCACTAGCCCAGGTTGCTCCAGCCTGGCTTTGAACAATTCCAGGGATCCAGGGGCAGCCACAGCTGCTCTGGGCAACCTGTGCCAGGGCCTGCCCACCCTCAATTCCTTCCCAATATCCCATCCAACCCTGTTCGGACAATGAGAAGCCATTCCCTCTGTCCTGTCCCTCCATCCCTTGTCCCCAGTCCCTCTCCAGCTCTCCTGGAGCCCCTTTAGGCCCTGGAAGAGGCTCTGTGGTCTCCCTGGATCCTTCCCTTCTCTAGGTTAACCCCCCCAGCTCTCCCAGTTGGTGTCCCTGGGATGTTCTCCTGGTGTGCATTACGGGAGAAAACCCTTGCAGTGAAAAAAAATCTTCCCTGATATCCAACCTGAACCTCTCCTGGTGCATCCTGAGGCCATTCCCTCTTGTCCTGTGCCTTTTTCCCTGGGAGCAGAGCCCGACACCCACCTGGCTCCCCCTTCCTGTTGGGAATGGAGCAGGGGGAAAAAAAAAAATCACGGTGTCTTCAGCCACCTTTCGATTTGCAAAGGAACCAGCAGGGCTCGGGGTCTGGATGGACATCCCGGGATCAGGGATTCACCCTCCCGGCACGAACAGGACCTTCCATCACGTCTGTCTGTCCAGAACCCGCTGCCTGAGGTTTGGGGACGAATCAGCCCTGCAGGGTGGGCCGTTCTATCCCGCATCCCACCTTTTACTTCCTCGGGGAATGAGGCACTAAAATCCCTCCCACCCCTCCTCCAGCAGCAGCATGACGGGCATCCCTGTCTCCCACTGCAGGCTGCAGGGAGAGGGTGTGCTCAGCCCCCCTGGCATGCACATCCACCCGGATCCATCCGGAGGAAGAGCGCGGGCACAGATTTGGTGCCTCGCAGCCCATTGGAGGAGCGCTGGCACCGGCAGGGGGGTCCTTTCGGCTCCGTGTCCCCACCCCTCTCCCTCCTCCAGACCCCCCTCCCTGTCCCCAGCGCCATCCTCACACACACACACACACAAAAGCAGGGAATTAGCTGCCTTAGGGCAGCCGAGGCTTAGCCAGCTGCGGGCGGAAAATCGGAATAAAATACCTTGGAGGGGAGGGGAGGGCAGGGAGGGAGGCGGCAGAGGAAGCAGCAGCCATGGAAGAACACAAATAACTGCCCTCCATCCATCCATCCATCCATCCATCCATCCATCCATCCATCCATCCATCCTTCCACCCATCCCTCTTTTTCCCAACCGAATCCCAAAAGCGACGGATGCCGTGCGAAAAGTCGACCTGGATGCATCCCCACATTCCATCTGCATCCGGATCCAGGGGCCGGACCTGCTGAGCCGCTCTCCCATCGGGAGGAATGCCGAGGCGGGATCCGGGCGGGATCGGCTTTTGTTCGTCGCTGAGCACCGGCAGCGGTGAGTACGGGAGGGCTGGGACAAATCCTGGGAAAAATCCTCCCGCTCCTCCCCGCCCGGCCTTTGCTTCGCTGCCTTTTTGCTTTTCTTCCTCCCTCCATGATGCCTCCAAGGTTGGCAGAAAGCAGCTGACAGGGAAGGGAGGGGGAAGGTGGGGATCTCTCTCTCTCTCTCTCTCTCTGAGCTCCGAAGGGTTTATTTAATCTGCATTTCAGGGAAATAAAAACCCGGGGAAGAGGTGGGACCGTGCCAGGCATCCCCTGAGCCAGGTGTGGGCTGGGGGGGCAGAATCCAGGATGGATTGTGGGAGATGCCGAGCCCTGCAATGCTGACAGCCAGCTCTTTTTGCTGATTCCAGTGCCTGGAATACAGAGGGATGCTGGGTTTGCTGGGGCCTCGTTCCTTTAAAGCAGATTCACAGAGATTTCTCTCCCCCACATCATCACCAGCCTCCAAGGGAAGCAGGAAAAGCTCTGGAAGGGCCTCAGAGCGATGGGCAGACTGTGCTGGGTGATGATCTCCCTGCACTGGGGCACGGACAGAGCAGCCCAATCTCCACCCAGGGAATCACCCTGCATCCCTTATCCCAACAGGAATGTGTTCCTGTCCAGCCAGTGCCTGGAACAATTCAAAGGCTGAGCCAGGAGGAACATTCCCAACTGTCCTGCAGTGGGTGGGATGATGCTCCTGGTCCAGCCCAGGAGCTGATTCCACCTGAGGATGTCCTGTAGGAGATCAGGCCTGACCTTGTTCCCTCGGGGCAGGATCCAGCTGGGAATGGTGTGTCTGATCCCCCCAACCAGTGCTGGTCCTGCTGGGACTGGTCCTGAGTCCCGAGCCAGATTTTTTTTTGGGAGCTGCAGGTGCAGGCCCAAAGAATTAGGTACAAACACCTGATTTTTGCTGTCTGGGAGCAGAAACCTCCTGGTGAAGGCAATAAAAAAAATATACATATGTGGTTTAAGGGCCCCTTGTGCCCCTGGGGTGTCAGTGTGGGTGAAAAACAGGATTCCTGGATCTCAGCTTGCTCCTGCCAGTGCAGGAGAAGGCCCAGACTGGGAACACACCCTCACCCTGCCTCTGGTTGAGCTGATCTGGTTTTTTTTGAGTCTAGATTGGTTTATCTGAGAGCCAGGCAGTGATGGGGATCCCTCAGGGGTGGGGAAGGACACTCAGCATCCCTGTGAAGCTTCATCCCCCTCCTCCACGTCTCTTTGGGACAGGGACACGCAGGGATGGAGCACAGAGAGGGCAGCAGTGTCAGGAATTTCCCTGCAGAGCCAGAGCCTGTGACTTCCATCCACACCAGCAACATGGAATCTGCTTCCAAAGCAGGCTGAGAGCAGCCTGGGAGGAGCCCACTCTGCTGTCCCCTCTCAGCAGGGGATACAAACACCCTCAGAGGGGTTTAAATGGAGATTGGGATTGAAAGGGAAGTCATGAGGAAAAAAGGTGTGGATATCAGCCCAGGCAGAGCTGATCCACGGGGACACGAGCTGGGATCCAAACAGAGCAAAGATACTTTGACCCAGGGCCAACCTCCCCTCCCCTTCCTGGTCCAAAAAGTGCAATTTTAGCCACCAAATGCCCCGTTTTGCTCCTTTTTCCCCCCAAACAAGCAGCTTCTCCAGGGAGTGTGGTGCCAGAGCACCTGCTCCTGGGTCAGGACGCTCCATGCCAACCTCTGTGCCTTCCCATTCCAGCCTGAGCCCTTCCCTGAGGGATCTGCTGCCTCCAGCCCTTCCCTGAGCACGATGGGAACCACGGAAGCCACGCTGCGGATGGAAAACGTGGATGTGAAGGAAGAATGGCAGGACGAGGATTTCCCCAGGTGGGTTCCCTCGGGAGAAACCCCAAAAAAAAACAAACAGGGAGAGTTTTATTTCTTCCTGTGAGAAAAACCCTCAGGGCATGGAGGGTGGTGGGTCTTTCCCTGGGCTCCAGAGGCAGCAGGGGTGGGAACTCCAGTGGGGGGATTTGGGCAGAGAATGGAGTGTTGGGAGCTGCTCTTGAGAGCTTGGAAGTTTTGGGATGCTTTTGGGAACCTTGGCAAGGAGGGGTGTGGAGCACAGGGAGGTTAATCATATAGGGATGGAGGGATGGAGGGATGGATGGATGGATGGATGGATGGATGGATGGACAGATGGACTCCTTCCCAGCCCCTGAATCACGCAGCGTCTCCCCAGACCGGGAAATGCTGCTTTGCCAGGAATTTGTCATGGAAAGCGGAGTCATTGGGATGCAGGGGATCCGAATGGGTGCCAACCTCGTGGGAAATGATGTGTGGGTGACAGGAGGTGCCAAAGTGGCACCTTCCACCCTCACAGCCGCTGCGCTGCCTGTGCAGAGGTGCCAGGAAACCTCCCTGTGAGCTCCCTGTGAGCTCCCTGAGGGAGCACCCGCCCCCATTCCCAGCCTTGTCCCCCCAAATCCAGGAGCCTGCACAGGGAGGGAGTGGAGTCTCCCTCTCTGGAGACATTCCAAACCCACCTGGAATGTCACCTGCCTTGGTGACCCCACCTGGGAAGGGCGGTTGGACTGGGTGATCTCCAGGGGTCCCTTCCAACCCCAGCTATCCCGGGATGCAGCTCTAAATCCCTCTGGGCACACAGAGCCATTCCCAGCCCTTCCTGCAGCCCCGAGGGGCTTCCAGGGCTGTCCCACCCCGCTCCAGCTGCATCCAAACCCCCCGGCAGCCCCACAGAGCCCCAGTATTCCCAGACACTGTGCCGTGTGTGCCGCGGGCACGTCCAGCCCCCGCCCACCAAGAAAGGGGCTCCTGTTCTTCCCAGCACTGGGATGAGCCTGGCTCTGTTCATCCCAGCACTTGGATGAGCCTGGCTCTGTTCATCCCAGCTCCAGCTGCATCCTCCTTCTGAGCCCCTCTGTCTTCCAGCCCACAGGGCACGGCTTGTCCTTCCGCTGGCCCCCCAGGGTGGGCTCAGCCAAGCCCTTTGGCTTTGCAGGATGGGTTTGATTTCCCTCTGAGAGAAGAGCTTTGGGCTGGTGGATCTTTGCCAGCCTCGGGCTCCCCTGGAGTGCCAGGGTTTTAATGGAGTGGAGAGAGAGAGGTGTAGAAAGGAAATGGGGGTTTAGGTAGGAATCATGGAAATGGTTTGGTTTGGAAGGGGCTGTAAAGTTCATCTCATTCCACCCCCTGCCGTGGGCCAGGGACGACTTCCACAAGCCCAGGTTGCTCAGAGAAGTATAGAAAGTGAGGCACAGAAAGGAAAACGTTGACCCAAAGCTTCCTAGGGAATCTGGGATAAAGCTGATGCAGCTCCTGGACACGCCGGCACCAACCCAGCCATCCCCTCAGAGCTCTGTCCCGCCCTTCCCGTGCCAGCAACAAACTTCCCACAGCCAGCCAGGCCTTCCAGAGGCATTTCTCCTGCATATCCCTCAGCACCAAGCATGGGTGTCATCGGGAATGAATCCTGGGAAAAGGCAAAGGGGTCAGGGACAGGGCCGAGGCCGTAGCTCTGGGAACACGCTCCCCAGGCTGCTGCACAGGGATTAAATCAGGAATGATGCAAGTGAGACAGAGCCTGAACAGCCCCTTGGCAAATGAGGGAAGGGCCAGCTGGGTTCCAGCTGGAATAAAAATAAATAAATTACCATTTTCCAGCCGCTTTTCCCCCCCTGGAAGCGGTGAAATAATAGGGCAGAAGCTGCTGCATGTGGGACAGCAGCTCTCCAGCAGCTGATTTGCTGCAGAGCTATTTTTGCCTGGCTGGGATTAGCCAATCTAGCCACGGGGGAAAAAAAAAAAAAAAAAAAAAAAAGGAAAAGCCACATCCTAGACAAGGATCTGGGCTGGGAAAAACGGGATTCAGTGAGGACACAAGGCGACATTCCCATCCCTCCTCCTCCTCCCCGGAAAGCTGAGCCTGCAGGAGCAGCTCCTGCGCGGCAGGTGGGGGATGTGGCGGCCCTGAGGGAGCGGAGAGGAGAAGGATCCTCCCTCCTGCTGCTCCGGGAAGGTTTATTCCAGACGTTGTGTCTCGGCTGGAGCGCGGGGATGATGATGCCGTAGGCTGGGATGGGGAGCATGCTCACTGCATCCCGCATCCCGCCGATCCCGGCGCGCTCCCTCCGGCGCCGAGCGGGCACCCACTCGTGCCCGTGGAAAAGGGGCTGGGAGAGGGAAGCAGGGACCGGCAGGGAGCAAAATGGTGGCACCCGACCCTTAGGATAAACCGCTGCGCTCCGGAAATCTCGGGATCCGGGGCTGAGCGCTTTCGGGAAGGAGGATTGGCACGGGGAGGTAGCGATCGGAGCAGCCTTTGGGAAGGTAAGGAAGGCTTTTTCTTCCCCCCTCTGGCTTTGGGAATCGCTGTCCTGACGGGATGAATGCCGGGATGAGGGAGCAGCACGTCCTAGGGAAGAGCTGCCCCCCCGGCTTTCCCTCCGCTTCCCATTGGGATGCTGTGTCACCAAATCGTGCCAGGTGCCGGCTCCCAGCGGATAAACAACCAGCCAGGCCTCGGTGGTGACAAAAGAAGGGGGAAGGAGGAGCTGGAGGGGGTCGAGGGGTCTCCGTGACCCCTCAGGAATATCGTGACAGCCGCCGGGCTGCGGGTGCTGCACAAGGAGCACGTGCCCGGGATCAGCTCCTCAGCTCTCATAAATATACAATAACCAGGGAGCAGAGGATTAGCCCTTAATCTACATATTTATAGGGTTTAATTTGGCCTGGTGGCTCTGGTGCCGTGGCAGCAGCAAGAGGAGCGTTTACAGGGCAGAGCTGGGCCGTGTCCTGTCTCCATCCTCCATCGTCTCCCTCTGCGAGTCGCAGGACCAGCCTCCTCACAGGCCCATCCTCATCCTTAAAACTCCTGGATTCTCCCCCTGTTCCATCCCAGGGCTGTCCCAGCACCAGGATTTTACAGCTGGAGGCACGAGGTCTTCCCCTTGAGGAGGGGGAGCTTCCAGAAATTAGATTTGACAACGTGAATTTATTGTTGGTGGGGTTTGGTCCAGGAGTGTCAAACCCAGCTCATGCCAGGGACAGACATGAATCCCAGCTCAAATTAAGGGGACAAGCATCTGGGGAGTGCATCTGCCCAGGAAAATGGACTTTTAAATCCATGGATGCTTTTGGCCCACGGCTGGAGGGACAGTGCTTTGTGCCAGGAGGGTGCAGGAGCTGAGCAGAAGAGGCTGCACATCCCAACCTCTGCCCGGGAAGGGACTGGTGGGATGGTCTCTGGCTCCAAAATAAGGGTTGGAATGCTGGTGATTGGGTCTTGGTGTGGAATGAACCTGCTTCCAAACCTCAACAAGGGGCTGGGAGGCACCGAATGGGGGCTGAGGTGAGGGTGGGGGGGACCATTTGGGGTCACCGCCAGGGTTTGGTTCTTGCCTTGAGCATCAGCTGCCTCCAAGCAAAGCCACCTCCAAGGAGCAGCTGCTTCCCATCAGAGGGGGTTGTGGAAGGCCTTTGGAGAAGGTTTTGCTGGGCTGGGATCCTCAGAGTTCCTGCAGAGAAAACATTGGGGTAATACGGAGAATGAGGACGTTTAGCAGGCTCTGCTGGGGTCAGGATTTGTTCCCCTGTCCCTGGCTGGATTTTCCAGCCTCTTGGCTGGACGAGGGTGGAAATGCAGGGGTTAGTTTGGAGGTTACTGGGGATTGCACAGCGCTCCAGGAGGGAAGCACAGCTGCTGGGCAAATTCCCTGAGGGATTCCCTCTTTCTGAGTTTACTAGGAAAAGGGAAAGGGCAGAGCACATGTGGGGTTGGGTGTCTTTCCCTGGTGTCCCCATTCTCTCCTCTGTCTGCCATGGAGGGACTTTTTCCTAAACATCACCTGCTCTCTCCTGTGTTTTCCCTCCGTTTCCTGCAGACCTCTCCCAGAAGAGACAGGGATGGAGTCACTGGGAAGCCCAACGGAAGACGAGAACACATCCTGTAAGTACCACCTGCCCTCTCCAGAACCCAAAGGGGAATGGCAGCTTGCAGGGAGGGAGAAAACCAATTGCCTTGGGTTAGCCACAAAAAAAAAAAATTCCTGGAGGGGAAGGGGAGGAAGAAACCAGCAGGGATTTGAATCTCCTGAGAAGCCGGGGGAGGAAATCGGGAGCTCACAAAGTGTGGGCACTTCTATCCAGCTCCCAGTCCCTCATCCACCACCCAGCCCGTAACCTGGGACATCCAGGAGGCAGCAGGAAGGACACAGGAGCAGGACAACCTGTCAGTTGTTTTCCTTTCAACTCCAGCTCCCCCCAACACTTTAAACTTTAACGGGGCCCATCGGAAGCGCAAGACACTCGTGGCACCCGAAATCAACATTTCCCTGGATCAGAGCGAAGGCTCCATCCTCTCTGATGACTTCCTGGACACTCCAGACGACCTGGATATTAATGTGGATGATATTGAGACACCTGACGAGACAGATTCCCTCGAATTCCTGGGGAATGGGAACGAACTGGAATGGGAAGGTAAAAGGGCTGGTTCTGTGGGAGTTTTGCTGGGGTTGGGGTGTTTTTTTAGCCTCGTTTTAATGACTTCTGACACAATTCACCACCAGCAACTGAGGACTGATAAGCAAAGGGAGGTTTTAAGCTTATTTGTGTAACATTTTGGCAATAGAGCAGGATTGTTAAGCACCATAAACTCGCACAGATCGAAGCTGCAGGCGGGGCACGATCCGAGCGCCATCCCTGGGGTTCTTCTCTCCAAAGCCTCTTCCTGCATTAGATTAAAGGCACATCTGTCCCTTTTGCAGATGACACCCCCGTAGCCACGGCCAAGAACATGCCTGGGGACAGTGCAGACCTGTTTGGGGACGGGGGCACGGAGGATGGCAGTGCCACCAACGGCCGGCTCTGGAGGACCGTCATCATCGGGGAGCAGGAGCACAGGATCGACCTCCAGATGATCAAACCCTACATGAGAGTGGTGACACATGGAGGTGGGTGAGGTCTTAGCTAGGGGGGGAGGGGTCTCTGTCAAGGATTCCAGGACTGGTTTGTTGCTGTTTACAGGAAGATTTGCTGTTTGTTTTGTAAAGTTACAGGGCAAGGAGCAAAAAGTGCCCAGACCGTGCTGAAAACTGCACTGAAAAGGGGGTCTGAAAATGGAATCACTGCCAGTGGTGTGTGAATTAACTGATAGAGGGGCTGTTCCCAACCCTCAGGCCTGGTGTGGGCAGTGATGAAGGGCCTGGGGGGGTTGAACTCCTCCAGCTCAGTGCTTGAGCTGCTCCAGAGGGACAGCAAAGGTCGACCCATCCACGGTCAGTGCTCTTTCCAAAATCCCAGCAAAGCCAAGCTCTGACACCTCCAAATTCCTTCCCTGAACCCCAAACACACGTTTCACCCAAACCAGGAGGAAACCTCCTCGGGAAGGAGGTCCAAAGAGGGACAAAGCTCTCCTGGAACCGGACAGAGGCACAAACCTCCCCCCTCCAGGCTCAAATCTGACAACACAACTTTGCTGCTGTTTCTCCCTCAGCTCTTACATCTTTCCCTGGAAAACATCCTGTGTTTTCCTTTCCCAGGGTACTACGGAGAAGGTCTCAATGCCATCATTGTCTTTGCTGCCTGTTACCTCCCCGACAGCAACCTGGCTGATTACCACTACATCATGGAAAACCTCTTCCTGTAAGTGGCTGCGAGGGAGAGGAGGGTGAGGGACAGAGTTTCCCTGTTCTCGCTGCATCAGGAACATCAGCTGGGAATAGTCTGAATCCAGGCCAAACATGCCCAGGGTGCAGCTGCAGACTGGGGTGAGCGTCGCTGGCCCCGGCTCTGAGTCCAATGAGTGAAAGCATTCAAACATTCCGGGTTAATGATGCCAGGGATGGACTCCCATCCAGGCTGGAGCGTGTGTGGGATGCTCAGCAGCTGGGAGAGAACAGAGCTGGGGTGTCCATGAGTGCCTGAACTGCGCTAACACATCCCCGGGCACCCCGCAGAGGTGCCAGGAGAACCCAAACCCGTTCCTGCAAAGAACGAGCCTTGGAGGCATTTCAGGGTGAAACACAGGTACCTGAGGAAAGCCCCAGGGTGTTTTTTCAGTCTCTTGTCCCTTCTGCTCACCCACCAGGTACGTGATCAGCAGCCTGGAGCTGCTGGTGGCCGAGGATTACATGATCGTGTACCTGAACGGAGCGACGCCCCGGCGGAGGATGCCAGGCCTGGGCTGGCTGAAGAAATGCTACCAGATGATCGACAGAAGGTCAGAACCCAGCTGGTGTGGCCTCTTCCTTCTTCCCAAGGCCTCCCCCCACACGGAATCTCAGAATGGTTTGGGTTGGAAGGACCTTAAAGTTCATCCAGTGCCACCCCCTCCACGGGCAGGGACACCTCCCACTAACCCTGGACACCCCCAGGGACGGGGCAGCCCCAGCTTCTCTGGGCAACCTGTGCCAGGGCTTTCCCCACCCCCACACCTCTTCCCCTGCTTCTTCACAACACTCCCAGCTAACCCTCCTCCTTTCCCACTCCCCAGAACCTGTAATTCCTTCCTCTATCCCAGATTTCTGATTTAACTCCAGGCTCTCCTCACGGGCTCTGCCCCCTCCTTCCTCACCAGCACCTTGGCAGAGCTCAGGTTGGCACAGCCCCAGAGCAGAGCAGTGCCCTTCCTAAAGGGCATGGAGAGTTTAGGAAATGCCCTTTGGATTTGACTCCTGTGCCTTTGCTCTTCCCCAGGCTCCGTAAAAACCTCAAAGCCCTGATCATTGTGCACCCGTCGTGGTTCATCCGGACGGTGCTGGCGATATCCAGACCCTTCATCAGGTGAGCAGGACGTTCCCAGACTTGGCTGGGCTTGGAATCACGGAATCCTAGGATATCCTGAGCTGGGAGGGTCCCATAAAGATCATCAGTGCAACTCCTGGCCCTGCACAGACACCCCAACATCCCACTCTGGCAGCTTTGGTGCTGTTCCCACTGCCCTGGGGAGCCTGTTCAGTGCCAACCACCCTCTGGGCTCTTCCCTCAGGAGGAACCCTTCCCTGAGATCCAACCTAAATCCCCCCTGACACAGCTTCGTGATGTTCCCCGGGGTTTAATCTCACAAATCAGATTTTAAGCTCATCTTTAGGCCAGGAGCAACCAAGGTGAGGCTGTTTGTCCCTCGTCCTTCTTCTCTCTGATACGTCCAGGGACGACTCCTGAGGTGGTTTTAGGAGACCTTAGGGTGGTCTGGATCCAGAGCAGACTTTGTCCCAGTGGGTAGGGAGTGATGATTTACTGGGAAGTGTGGGAATGGTGGCCCTTTTTGCCTCCTGCAGATGTTGGGAGGAGCTTTCAGTCCCCCAACAGCGTCACGGGGAGGTGGGCACAGAGATGCAGAGTTTCTTCCATCAGGAAAGCTCTTGGCTTCCTCTGGATCAATCCAAGGCCTCCTGGTGCACTGTCTCTCTCTCTCCCTGCCAGTGTGAAGTTCATCAATAAGATCCAGTACGTGCACACCCTGGAGGAGCTGGAGCAGCTCATCCCCATGGAACACGTGCAGATCCCAGACTGTGTCCTACAGTGAGTGCTGGGTGGGGGGGGACCTGGGGCAGCTCTGGGGAGGTGCAGGACACACATCCCACCTCATCTTACTCGTGCCAGGGCCGAGGAAGAGCCTCACCCTGTGCCAGCACAGAACTCCTGTCACCTTCGGAGCAAACGTGGGGTTTTACTGGGAGTGAACAATCTCCATTTAAATCTCTCTTCTTTCTTGCAGATTCGAAGAAGAGAGGATCAAGGCCAGAAAAGAAAGGTAAAATTAATTTTTTTTTTTTTTGGGGGGGGGGTAAGGTGGAGAGGGGGTTTGTTTCCTTGGGATGTTGTTGCTTTCTCCCATCACTCCTTGTGTCATAACCAGTAAATTCCACGTTCCTCCCACCCCCAAATCCTGCACTGATTGTCTCCAAGTAAGTAAGAGTTGGAGGAGGGAGAAGCTTGATTAAAAGGTTGTTATTTATCCATAGAACCTCTGAACCCCACACATCCTCCTCACACTCTGTCTGTGCTCCCAAAGGTCATCAGACACCACTCTCTGTGTAAAACAGGCACATTATCCCTATTTGGGCAGCAAACTGACCCTAAAGTGAGCTCTTGTGCTTGTTTCAAAAGCCACTTCACCCTGCTGGAGTGGCATGAAGAGGGACTTCAGTGTTGCAGTTGGTTTGGTTTCACTGTCTGGACCTGCTCCGTGCCCGGTGCTTTGGGTCAGAAGTGCTGCTGGGAGGGCTGGCCATGACCAGGGATGACTCCAGGAAAAGCAAGAGGCAGGGAAGGAGAGAGGAGAGACCCACTGGGTCAGCATAGGTGCTACACCACCTCCTGGTGCTGGTGCCCCAGTGGGAGATGCCAGTTGGGGAGGATTAAGTGAGTTGTCCAGCCCAGCTCCTGGAGCTGCCTCCCTACAGGAGCACGAGGGCCACCAGGGCTGGGGGTCCCAGGAACTCAGACCCCTCTCCAAGGTCCATCCATCACCCCAGAAGGGCCCTGGATTCTCCCCTCCTTCCCACTGCTCACCTCTGGGTGACGATCCCAAACGTGATTTGTGTTTACAGGGCAGAAGAGAAACAAGACATGGCTGAGAGGGAAAGGTGAGGACTCTGATTGATTAATCCCTCACTCACAGCTCAGCTCAAACCGTGCCTGGGGGTGGGAACACAGCCCCATGGATTGGGAACACCCCCAGGAGACAGCTGGATCCACCAGGACATCCCCAAAGCGTTCAGGAGCTGATAAAGCCCCTCGTGTCCCAGACAGCTCCGTGTGTGCCACCACTGCTGGTGGTGTTCCCGACCTTCCCCTCCGGGAGCAGATTCCTGATCCTGCTCCGTGCAGGGAGTGATGCCAGAGCTGAGCCAGAGCCCCTGGGAATGCTCTGCTGACGTTCAGGGGAGCATTTGCAGGGTGGTGCAATGCAGAGGGTCAGATCCTGCTGCTGGACACGTTTCCCTGTGGGCACAGGGACCGGAGCCGGGGCTGTAACTTGAGATGGGAAAGAGAATTCTAGAGGGGTTGGGAAGGCAGTGCCCAAAATCCTCCACCAGGAGAATCTGGCCTGGTTTTGGCTCTGCTTCAGAGCCATGCAGCCTCTCTTTTCGTTCTGTCTGACTCTCCTGAGGGGGAGCAGGGAATATTTTGTGCTGTTTTCCCAGGGAAAAAGGAGTTTTGATCGCAGTTGCCTGAGTTGTTCCGAGAAATAAGAGGAGCTGAGGGCAAAGAGAGGGGGCACCAGTTTTGTGATGGAGATTCACTCACTGTTGTGCTGGTTCTCTTCCCAGCAGGCCTGTGCCTCCAGGAGAGGACCAAGAAACCAGGTTTGAGCTGGACCTCACTCTTTGTTTGTCTCCATGCCAGATCTCGTGGTGTTTGTACTCCATGAACAAGAAAGCCCAGCCTGGGTTAGACCCGGGATCCTCCTCCCTGGTGCCACTCCCGGGCACCCAGCAGGCCCCTCTGCCCCTTCAAGCCACAGATTGCATGATGTTTGTCCCCAATACATGATGACACCTACATTTACCCCCATTTTTTTGACACGGTGGGAATAATAAAAAAATTTTTTTACCTCAATTAGCTGCCTAAAAATGACTCCTGCCTCTCTGTTCCTTCCCAGTATGTCCTGAATGGAAGCAGGAGGTGGATGGATGGAGTGGAAGGACACAGCCTGGCAGCCACCCACGGCAATGACCTTTTGGGACAAGACCTTGTCACCATCTTATTCCAAGTCCTGTAAGATCCCGGAGCCTGCCTCCTCTGTCTCCAAGATGCAAAGCTCTTTAACCTTTTTGGAAACATTTTACCTTAAAAAAAAAAAAAAAAAAAGAAGAAGAAGAAGAACAACAACAACCAACCAACCAAAAAAAAAAAAAAAACAAACCCACAAAACAAAGCAGGCCAAGAAAAGCACTTTTCAGGACAGGTTCCAGTGTGTTTCTGGAATGGTCTGTGGAGAGCTGTGACACAGTGCAAATACACACCTTGTAGTAAGTTAAGAGCATCCTCCAATTCATTAGTCCCCCAGCCCAGAAAGAGATTTATTTTGTTGTTTAAATTATAAACCCACCTTAACTCGCTGCTGGCCAGCACGGAGATGTTTTGCTTTAATCTGCAGCCCCAGGTTCCTCCACGACATCCCAGGGAGAGCCCAGGGAATAACTTCAGACAGGCAATGAAAAGAGTTTTTCCCTCCTTTTTATAACCAGTGTGTGTTCCTGCCTGAAAATATCAAGTGCCCACCGGGCTCGGCACCAGGTCCAGCCTTGGCTGTCTCGGTGAAGTCATTGCCAGCCCCTCAGTTCTGTAAATGCCATGTTGTTGTTGTTGTTGTGGTTGTTGTTGTTTTGTTTTGTTTTGTTTTCCCTGATTTGTTCCATTCAGGTGTGTAAGGCACTCTGGGAGCTCTGAAGGAGCTTCTCCCTGGCGTGGCAGCCTCCACAGAACCTTCCTGTGAGCAGCCCCGAAAGGTCTGGGTTCAGGAGGGGCCTTACGGCCAGGAACGTTCTCCTCGCCTTTGTTGTCACGACACTGGACAATCACTCGCTGTCAAAAACCTCCCGCTGCGGAGACAAGCTGCTAAAATGGTTGGAAGTTTCCCCTCCTGAGGGCCTTCATCCATCAGCATTCCTGCCTGGAATATCCCCCCTCCCTGGACAGTGCAGGGCACCAGGACTGGGCTCAGCATCCGGAGCCGTCGACTCTGGGAATTTGGATCTGTGGCTCGTGAGGATCCTCTGGAGCAAAGGAGGGGGAAAAGCAAATTAAGGAACAACCATCCAGCCAAAATCATTTGGAAGTTACTTCAGCAGACCCAGGTTATGTCCTCATCCCTGGAAGTGTCCAAGGCCAGGTTGGAGCAGTCTGGGATAGTGGAAGATAGGGGGTGCGACTGGATGAGTTTTAAGTCCCTTCCAACCCAACCCATTCTGGGATTCTGGGATCAGGTCAAACCCCTCCCAGACACCTGCAGATGGAGAATGACCTGCCTGTTTCACCACTTCAAGAATATTTCCAGGAGAATTCTGGCCAAGCAAGATTTCCCTCAAGACAGGGACGGTTCCCCCTGGATACACAAAGCTGCTCTTTTTTTTTTTTTTTCCTTTTAGTGAGTAAAACCACCATGAGCGAGATCTTTATTTCCCTGGATGCTACAAAGAAGCACCAAATATTCCCTTCTTAAGGCTAGTTCTCCTTTGAGACCTGTTCTCATGCACTTCAGTCATGGATGTCTTTGCTGCCCAGACCTTTGCATGAAAAGCAGAGCACCCACAACATCCACCCAGGATGGGTGAAGATGGAAAAAAATCCTCCCCATTCCATCTCACTGGCATGTTAATGACGAGCACCAAACAAGCATCGAGTTCCACAGCTTTCTAGAAATATCATTACAAATTTATTTATCATCATCATTATTATTATTATTATTTATTATTATTGACAAAGGATTTCAAGGCCAGGTTGGAGCAACCTGGTCTAGTGGGAGGTGGCCCTGCCCATGGAACTGGATGAGCTTTTTAAGGTCCCTCCCAACCCCAACCCATCCTGGGATTTTATAAAGTGAATTCTGTGCACAAAACAAACCCACCAAAAACCCCAGCCCTTCAGGTTTTTTGGGTTCTGCCAGGTGACATCTCCCTGTTGCAGCTCCGTGCTCAGCTCCCAGCCAGGGAACTGTCTGGAGGCAGAAGCAGCAGCCAGGAATTCCCAAAGAGAATTCCCACCTGCAGAGCTTTCCCCACCATCTGTCAGAGGGGCCAAGCAACCCACTGAAATTAAGGAAAGGACTTTTCCTGATTCAATTCATTTTAGCTCCCAACTAGGAACAAACCTCCTTGTGCTCTCAGAGCCTGGGAATTCTCCCAACTGATAACACTTAAATCAGATTTTCCTCTTTTCTTTTGAGGTGGTTGTTTCAGTCAGCTGTTTCAATACACAAAAGTCAATTTAGAAGTTCTTTGAGCCAATTTTTTTTTTTTTCCAAGAAGTGCACTTTCTGAGGGAGTGGTATGCACTGTATTTTAATTTTTTTAACAGGATTTTATGAGTGTATAAAGTTTTCTGTTCCTGGATGGAAGGATGGATGGATGGATGGATGGATGGATGGATGGATGGATAATATTAATGTGTCTTTTCGACTTAGAGAAGAACCTGCAGTCCATAAAGGATAAATCAGAGCTAATTGTAAAAACAAATTTTAAAAATAATTCACTTCTTTCAGACACTGGTTTTAGGTGTTGCTTGCCTAAAAAAAAAAAAAGCTACAAATTCCTGGATAGAAACCCACAAAGTTGTCGATGTCCCTTTTCCCAAACAAGGAGTGACAAAACTGAGTTGGGTGTGGCTAAACCTGAATTGTTGCTGCATTTCCATCACAACTTTGGGTGTATATATAGAGATATATATATATCTAAAAACATAAAACTGAAAATTAAATCAACTTTATCAACACTGTTGGACTCACCAGCGTCCCCCAGGCCTCGTTCCTGCCTCATAAAACCACCTCTGGAGGATCAACATTTGGACTTAAATATCGTGTGAAACACTTTCTGCTCTCGGATTCCGCCTTCCTGAGGTTTTTTTTTTTCCCTTGGAAAGTCACATTTAAGCTGCTGGAGGAGTTATTTTACCCTCACCAAAAACTGGGCTGCCCTTCCTCGTGGTGTCATTGAAGGGTTGGATTTCATCTCCCACAACCTGAACATCAAATCAAATCAAATCAAATCAAATCAAATCAAATCAAATCAAATCTCTTCCTGTGCAGTTGATTCCAGGCTGGGAATGCCCTTCCCATCTCCTCGAGGTTGCCACAGGATTTGTCCCAAGGCCCTTCTCAGATCCAGACAGCTCGAACTACTCTTGGGTTTTTTTTGGTGGTTTGGTGGTTTTTTTGGTTTTTTTTTATGAAGAATCCTCCAGGATTTTGGGTCTGTCCACCAAGTTTCATCCCGGATCACGAGGAAGGCCCAGGAATATTCCTGTCTATTCCAGCTGGACCTGCTCCAAGTTTTCCTGTACAGTACCTCGGAAATGTGAGTGGATATTTAGAACTTCCCTCGTGGCAAGGTTTTTTCCCACCTAAATTTTCTTTTTTAAGACAATTTGCAAACTCCTGGAATGAGAGACCCCCTGGTGGGAAAGGTTGGAATGGCAACAAATCCTTTTTTTTTTTGGAAGCTCTAGGGATGAAAAAAAAACCACAGGAGTGAAGGAGGGAAAGGCTGGTGGGAACAAGCTGCCAGGAGGGTGAAAAGAGGACAGAAAAATGGCTCTAAACACAAAAGCACATGTTTTCTCTTTTGTATTTCCTTATTTCCTGGCAGGCAGAAATACAGCATGTTCCTGGTAAAGTGAATTTTCCAACTCACCGTGACAAGAAACCACAATTTCAGGTTTTTGTTTGGTTTGCTTTGTTTTTTTTTTTTTTTCCTTTCCAGTGGGCCCTTTCAACCCAAAGGAACCTGTACAAAACAAACAAACAAACAAACAAACAACAAAAAACGTGTGAAATGTCATTTTTCTACAGTGTTTGTAATTAGGTGGTTGGTGGTAGCAGACCTAGATCTCTGTTCAATATGTATTCAGGTTTTTGCTTTGTATTATTCCATAAAAATCTGTGGATATTCAATTAAAATGAGACTAATCCTTCAGCAAAAACTGCATCCCCCTCTTTTTTTTCTTTTTTTTTTTTTTGTCAGTAGCTTTTATTTAGACTTTGTCTCCATGTGGAAAATATGATGGAAATTTTTCATTTGGATGCTGTTCCCTTGAAGAGAGGCAGTCAAAGTCCTCCCTGGAAATTCTGACCCTGCAAAATTAACATCTCAAAGTGTTGGATTGGTTTGGTTTGGTTTCTTTGAGGAAAATAACTTCTATTCTGGAGGATGATCTCTCCCAAATTCCTTCAGCTTTAGCAAAGAGTCATGGAAAAATTGCTTTCCTCGAGTTGCCATCAACTCTACTCGAGTTTTTTTAATCACACTTTATTTTTACATCTGTTTTTATAATCCAGTTAAGAATGTGACTGGGAATTAAATCAGAATCATCATTAAATTATAACACCAAACACCCACAAAAAAAACAACTCAAAGCCACTTAGGAAAAAAAGAATCCCAGTAAATCCTTGTTCATTTTTATGCTAATTATTTCTATTAAATTATTAATTATGTCTATTTAATTATTTTAATATTGCAAGTTTCTATTCTTCTTTACATTCTGCTGGGATTTTATATTTTTCTTTACATTCATCAGAGTTTAAAAGCCAAGAATGCTCATCCTGGGAACCAGGGAAAGCCTTTCAGGGTGAACTGGGCACTTACCTCACTCCTCTCCAAGAGATCCAGGTGTATTTATATTCTTTTTATCCAGGCTGGTGGCACCTGGGATTAAGATCAGCAGAATGGCAGGTTAATTTTGCAGGTATTTTTCCATTCCAAGTTCATAAAACTCCCCACCAGCCACACGTGGAATCTTCAGGACTCATTTTCTTTTAATTAGGTGCCTGAAACCCACCCAAAATTTCCTGCTGCCTTTATGGATCTCACATTTGCTTCCTCACCAGCTCTAATTTTAAGGCAGAAAAAAAAAGGCAAAAAATTATCACCCTGGGGAGGTAAAAATAGTTTTTAAAAGCCTGGTTTTTGTTGGTTTTGTTTTTTTTTTTTTTTTCCTCCAAACCAGAAAAATCCCTTCCCATTTCGACCTCAGTTTTGCACTTGGAGTGACAAATCAGTATTTTCCTCCTCCTCACTGCTGGAACCTCTTCTGTCACACGAGTTGTGAATTAAACTGTCACCCAAGTGGGAATCTCTTCTCCCACGTGCAGTGACTGAGGCTGCTGAATGAAGTTCTATATTCAAGAAGAATGTGCTAATTATGGCCCAGAATATTCCCAGACATTTCCCTCATAAATAGAAGCCAAAATTCCCAGTTGTAGGCAGTTAGAATTTACCCCTCCCTTAAACAATTAAACTCCACATGAAGGGTGAGATCCACCCCACCTTGTTCTCACCAACCTAAAAATGAGATCCTGAGCTTAAAATTGGGGGATGAAAAAAGCTAAAATTCATGGGAGGTGGGTTGTGGATTTTCAGGCCGTCACGGAACGGCCACCCCAGAAAACTCAGTGTTTAGACAGAATAATGCCCAAATTTTAGGGGTGAAGAGTAGGATTTTGTACCTGGAATGGTGAGGAAAGAGAAATCCCAGCTGGTTCTTGCACCACATCAACCCGTTTTGACCTCGTTTTTATTCCTCAAGTGCCAAAACGTTTCAGTTCCCTGAATTGTTGTGTTCTGGTT